GCGGCGCAGGCGGTCGTTCTTGTCGCCGCTGGAGGGCGCTCTCACTATCTTCTCAGAGAAGATATATAGAAGAGAGAGGAACGGGATAAAATTTTGAGAATGATCTGGGCGAACTGTTGTAGCACTCTGTTTTACCGAAAAACTTATTTGCGTACGGAAGCCGTCAGTGTGCAGAAACGGTTGTTCGAAGACACGATGAGTGATTTGGACGTTTAATATCAACAACGGAAAGAAACCAGTGAGTAAAGTAATTTTTTTTTTATAGGAGTGTGTCCTCTGTAAATGTTTGTCGCAAGGCCCAGGAAAGCCGAAAGGGCGTCCTAACCCTTGGCTGAGAAACCGAGACCCTGGTTCTTGGCCTCTTTACATGACACTGTCGCCTGCGTCCAACCGTGTCTTAATTTCAAGAGATGATGTGGAATCCTAATTAGGGCCTACTCATGAGGCCTACCGTCATTAACAGAGACAGAATGCTGTGGATATGGCAATGGATATATATTTGTTTCTTTGTTAAGTAGGGGCCGAGGGCCAGTCTAGGCTCTCTATCCCGCATAGGCCTAATAATTTGCACACTTAATACTTGGACCTGTTTTAATAAAAACCAATCTGCTCTTTTTAATGGCTTCACCTTTATAAGTTGAAAATCTGGGAAAGAATTCAGTACATACGGATGCCACTAAGTTTCCCTGCAGTGACCTATTTATTACTAAACATTGGGGGATTATATTAATAAGGGACCCCCCCCAGTTCCATTGTCATTTTAATCCTGTAAAACTGGTCAGCCCCCTCCAAAAGCAATGTACTCTTTATTGGGCTTGACGCTATTATTTGGAAATGTCAAATTGTAAATTATGAGAGAATGCGCGACTTTCTTACTGATAAACCAGCAATGCAAATTTGAATCCACCATGTGTCATGTGTAACACTCACAGTTTCCCCCTCATAATTTCCCTCAAAACTCTGCCCTTTTTTGACAAACATACCGTTGTTGAGCATCATGTCACAGTCATCTACCAAGGTGAATCCAAAAGTTAAAATGTAGGTCTCCCTGCTGTTGTACATGTAGGAACATGGTCCCAAATATACGATCCCCAAAAGAAGTTTCAACTTTCAACACATATCCTATAACTAAAAGGTCAAATTTAGTAATGAAAATATTTAGGTACGTAGGCCTATTCACTTGGAGAGCACTTCAACCTTTCTCAGACCAGTCCTTTATTGCACAGGGTGTGAAGCGGTATCCATGAAATTTCTTCCAAAGTCTAAAATCCTACCAGTACACATGTGCATGGAATAATACTCATATTTTGAAGAACTCCAAATGTCACCGAAGTAACAGGAATGCTAGCATCTGCAGCTGAATCAGATTGGTTGCTATAAAACTCAAATCACCATGCCGGTAATTCTTGCTTTATGTCATTTTACGGGCACCTCTGGAAACCAAAAGGCACTTCTGTGTGTCTTTTGGACAAATTAGCCCGTAAAGGGGTCATTATACAGTCTGGTTTTGAATCCAACCTCTGTAACACAAATTCTACTTTCTCATTTAATATTTCCCATGAGAGTTGTCCTGAGATGCCTGTAACTTTTGAAAACTGTGACTTGGATTTTAGACCATGAAACTTACTTTTTTTTTTCAAATTGGAGTTTTTGCTCTGCAGTCTCTCAATCTCGTGATGACGATTGCATTACACCTTGTGTGCATTACACCGTGCATGCATCAGGCCAAAAGGCCATGAGTTGACCGACCATCTTGACCACTATTGATATTGGCTCGAGCTTTGTCAGAGGTGGGGGCTTGAATCTTGTTTTCAACCGTCCCTTGCAAAAACACCCCCAAAACATTTTCTCACGATTTCTTGTTCCATAGTTGTGGGGAGATACTGGTACATGTACATGTGCACGTGATATTTACCCCGTTTTGCAGGGACTGAAACCGGTAATGGTTATGTACGGGTACACAACTCGGTCCAAATTTGCCTAACAAAAGAAATTGTCCCCTTAACCTTGAGAAAGCCTGCCCCAAGTACAATGTACCATGTGTAACGCATATAAGATTTTGTTGCCACCTCTGAAAATGGTCGAGCAGATATTGTCGGCGGCCGAGATGGTTGGTATTGGCCTGGTGCATGCGCATTGTGATGCACGTGAAGTGTTCAATGCAATGGTCATCATGTACCAGTAAAGAACAAGAGATTGGTGAGTAAAACGTCCTACTAAAAAAACAAAGTTGATCTTCTGGCCCTGAAGGCATGTGGAGCCCCTTTTGGTTTCCAGATACCATAACCCTAACACTCCTCAGTCCTCCAACAGGTGAAGGATTGAGGAGGGTTAGGGATAAATAAGCTGTGTCCTACATGTACATGTTAAATCGGTGCTTTTGGTTGGAAACAAACTTGTGTGTTGATTACTTGGGTTTTGTGATGCAGTTTGAGAGTCTTAACTTTCCCCAGCTCTCCTTTGAAAATTTTTTTCAATTGCATCTCAAGTAACAGGCATGAAATCATTTTTTTCAGATAAATTGGAGGTACTCAAATGTAGTGATAGGCCTAAATGTAAGGGCAATTGATGTAGGTACTATAAACAGAACTTTCTTTTGTTCCATTTCTGCAAAAGGAAACCCCAAAACTAGTACCCAGTTTTAAGATGGGCACCTTGGCCAAGGAAATCTTAAAAATATAAGGGCCACAATTTTTTTTCAGTATTTGATAGTGGCTTCCCATAATGATACTTACATATAGTGAAAGTTGACCGAAGTTGTCGTTGACATTTTGGAGTCAAACACACAACACTGATCATAAGCAGACCTCACAGTAGTCATTTGTTTTCTAAATCATTTAAATGGGGTTATCTTTTGTTCCGTCTACACAGTGAAATTTTACCCTCAGCTTTGCTTTTTTACCAAGTAGTCAGTGGAAAAGCTTTTAATTTACACATACCCCCCCGGTACATAACATCTACAGTACATGGTCAAAAGCCCCTGTCTGACTCAGCTACTGTACAGTTCATCTGTAAATCACATGATCCTGGTAGTGCATAATGTGCGTACATAGGGTATTTTGAATAATTCATTTGCATTGCTTTTTTTTTCCAGCTGCAATGCAAATGGCTGTGCTTGCTCATGTTGTGCTGCAGTCAGGCTGCATAAAAATAAAAAAGTTGTTGCACCTTGACCCTCCCTCCTTTTTTTTAAAGAGTGCATATGTTGAAGATCCAGAGACTGCGGTAATTCAGTTACCGGTATTTAGACCGTTGAATCCAAAGCGGACTCTGTTACCTTCAGAAATCTGTGTTCATGCGGAACTTCCGACATGTAGTGGCGGCACCGGCCCCACCTGCGTGCATTTACAATGCACATTAAAAATCAGTGACGTGGTCCATTCACTCATACAGTAACTCTGCTTACTGGCTGGTATCCTGTCTTTGTGTTGTGACGCATACTTTGGCAGTACTAGTAGTGTGCTTGTATGCAATGAGTTCATAAAAATATTTTGAAGAAACCCCACGACACTGGTTGTATGACAGGGCTTTGCATCTAGTCATGTTTGCGGCTAAATGTTCGCTGAAACACACTTGTTGTAGACTTAGTGACATCTTGCTGGAGTGCTAAGAAACCAGAAGATTTCAGCCTAGCCTTTGCCGCACATTCACCTCTGACATCAGGATCACTTGTTGGACTGTATTTTGTTCAAACTAAATGAAAATACTTCCATCTTTTTCGTGAGCTAGAAATTCCAAAGTCAGTGGATTAAAACTGATTCAAGTTATAGATGAAGCCAGAAGTTGGCAGTTGGCCGTGCAGTTGGATGCTTCAACCAATAAACTCACACAGCTTGGAACTCACATTAGACTCGTTGGCTTCATAGAAGTAGAAAAATTATCGGGAAGTGAAATCAATCATTGAATGGAGGCTGAGTTACAGTATGGAGCCAAGGTAAAAAGCAAATACAGTAATTTTTTGGGTGAGATCTAAAAAAAGAAGAACATTGTAATTTTTCAAGTCACATTAGCAGTGTCATGAGAAAAAAAAATCCCCAACTTTTTTGAAAAATAAGACAATGAACAATTTATTTTGTATGCGTCCTTATTAGCCTGTCGCACAATAAATTCCAAGCCTTTAATGCATGCAGAAGTGTAACATGAACAAGTTAATGACATCGTAAAAAAATTATGCAGAGTTTTTGGCATGTTATAAATAGCATTCTTTCTTCCTGTTTTTATCGTGATTCTTTTAGGGATTGGTTCAACCATACTCAGGCTGATGGTTTTCAGTCACCATAATCATGTCTTTCAGGTAAGCTATCATTTAAGATCTCATGTAAATGAGGCTTGTGGCTGACTTTTCCAAGACTGTGTGTTGTTTTTAATCTCTCCAAGATGGGTGAATGGTCTTGGCAGGAAACAGTGAGACTTTCATGTGTGCAGCCCAGTGGGAGCACAAAGGGGCACCAGCATCTTATGGGGGGGGCACCAGCTTTCAGTGGTGTGTTTGTTGGGGGCAAATTTTTGTCAGCCTTGTTCATTATCCATTTTTTTTTTCAGTGGAGGGGGGCACCGGGGGGAGGGCACTGGGAATTTGTGGGGGGGGAATCCCCCATTCCCCCTCTGGCTTAGCCGCTGGTGCAGCCTCACTACATCCAGCCTCACCTGCACACAGTGACCATATTTGATACTAGTCTCTAGAACTTCCTTTTGAGTGTTACTTTGTATTAGATCGAGGAGTTTGAGCTCTTTGTGTCGATGTGTCACTCAGTTTGGTATGATAAAAACGGACGCTGTGTAGATTTTAAGATGTTGAGGATTCCTATGCTTAAACACTGTGGTTTGTTTTTCAGTAAACTCCTTGCAGCTGACACTCAGTAATGGTTCCTTGAACATGGGAAAGAAGCATTGAAAAAATTTACAGCACAATCACTCAGTCAAGCAGTGGGGATGTGAAAACTGCATTATACGTACATGTACATTGTACAGTTGTACATGTACATTAATGCAGGGACAACGTGCCATTCTTGTTTCCTGGTGTTGCCACTGTATGTACTTGTGCTGGAGTAACCATTTAGCAATCATGGTAATATGGAACCCAATCTACTGGTATACATATTTGTGTATATACATGTGCTCAAAATTATTAATTCCCTTTGGAAAATAACATACTGTACCTTTCTAAATTATTCATTTGTAACAGCTTTTATCTCGGTACTTTCACTGTACATGTATATCTTTTGTCTGTTTGTTGCAATGCACAGACCCACATGTGTGTTGTCTAAACTTCATTTGCATAATAATAGATACATGTAGGCCGGGGTCAAAATTATTCACACCCCAGGTTTACATAAAGGTAGTCCAAAGTCTCTTCTTAATAGTCAATACAGTGACATTTGTTCTTGAAGACTGCCTCATGACAAACCTACACGTATAAATGCCCACAAGCTTTCTGCATGTCTCCTGTGGGATGTTGGCCCACTCTTCCTTGGCAGAAGCCTCCAGCTGGGTCAGGTTGGATGGTCTCCTGGCCATCACTCAGGTCTTCAGCGCCCTTTACAGGTTTCCTATTGGATTTAGGTCAGGACTTTGACTTTGCCATTCCAGTACATGGACACCACTGTCCTTGAACCACAGCTTTACTACCTTAGCGGTGTGCTTGGAGTCATTGTCCTGCTGGTACCCTTCGTCCAATCAGGATCTTGATTTACCGGTGATTCTCCTTTTTCACGATGCCCTTGATCTTAATGAGGTTCCTGGTAGCACTAGCAAAGAAGCAACCCCATATCGTTATGTTGCCACCACCATGCTTTACAGTTGGGATTGTGTTCTTCGGCTTGTATGCTTCTCCTTGCTTCCTCCAGACGTAGGCAATATCCATGTGGCCAAACTACTCCATCTATGTCTCATCAGACCACAGGACCGATGACCAAAAGGTACATGTAGGATCTTGGTTCAAATGTGCTCTAGCAAATGCTAGATGAGCCTCTTTATGTTTCTTCTTGAGTAGTGGTGTCTTCTTGGGCCTGTGTCCGTGGAGACCTCCTTTGTGCAATACTCACTGGATGGTTGCCTGGGACACCTTTGTCCCTGCCTTGTCAATGGTATCAGTTAGGGCCTTGGTTGTGATCCATGGGTTGTTGTTGGCCTCCCAGCAGATTTTTCTGGTGAGTCTAGGGAATACTTGGCACTTCCAGCCACGCCCATTGAGGTTTTCACTGTGTTAAACTTCTTATGCTTCCTGATGATACTCTGAACTGTTGCAACAGGGACCTCATATTGCTGGAAATTGCCTTGTAGCCTTTGCCTTCTTTATGGGCATTCACGATACACTGGTGTATGTCCTCATTGAGTTCCTTCTTTTTGGTCATGGTGAGGAGTAACTGAGAAAGATCTGAAAACTTTTCTTCTTTTTATACTCTTTGGGGGAGATGGCATTTCATCAGAATCTTGAACACAAAGTCATCAAAAGAAGGTATTTATTCTTTTGGAACATCTTGAAATAGCTTCATGCCAAAGATTCTTGCAGTCATTTTTTTCTCGAGATTTTCTCTGGGGTATGAATAATTTTGATCAGGAGCAAAAAACAAACCCGGGCCACATCTTTTATGATTATGATTATTTGCAACCAAAGGTTGGATTGAATTACAGAATATAGTCCAAAAAGACACCATTTCAAAATACAATATAAAAATACTAAAGCCTTAAGTTAAAATTGGTAAAAACAGCAATACAAAAACCAGAATCAATACAAAATTCAGATAGTGTCCCCTGTGGGACACCACCATTTGGACAACCTGCGGGTGATTTACAGACCCAATTTTGACACGTTGGGTCCTATCCTTCAAGAACGCAGCCATCCAACGTACTAGATGATGATCCAGGTCGATCAGTTTCTGGATAAGAATGTAGTGATTTGTGTGATCGAATGCCTCGGAGTAGTTTAGCAGCAGGATGTGTACAAATCTGCCGAGTTTGTCAGTAGCCTCGTACCATCGGTGAACCATTTCCACAAGCACATCAGTAGTACCAGATTTAGGAATGCAGCCAAATTGGTTTGGGTCTATTTTGTCCTTGATTTTACTAGACACTTGGTGGAGTACAATAGATTCAAACACTTTGGCAGCAATGGATGTCGATGAAATTGGTCTAATATCAGTGTCTGTTGACCTGGGTGGAAACGTCTTTGGTGTGGGGATGACATGAGCAGTTTTCCAACTCGTGGGAACTACACCCTCTCTAAATGAACTGTTATAAATGTCCGTTAGAGGGGCAGCAAGTACATTGGAAAATTCTCGGAGAATCCATGCAGGGATTCCGTCAGGCCCCGTGGCTTTGGCAACGTCAATCTTATCAAGAGCCTTCTTCGTAGAGTAAACACTGATGCAAAGCTCTGCTGGCACAGGTTCTGTTGACTGGAAGATAGGGTTGGTTTAAAAAGTCATTAATCTTATCTGCTAGTGCCTGCAGTTCTCCATTGGACACCGTTTTGGCAAGGCCCTGCAAATAGGCACCTCCCTTTATTGATGGTGCTCCAATGAGTGCCTACATGTTTTTCCACCAGTCTTTGCAGGACTAATTCTGCAAGGTAGCAATCTTAGACTGGTAGAAATCATGCCGTAAACGCGAGGCAGCACGATGAACTTGGTTACGAAGTTGTTTTGCCGAGTCAACTTTGACTGCCATTCTTGCCCGCTGGCGTCTCTGGACCAAATGTCAAAATGCATCGGTGACCCATGGCTTATCGTTGGTGTGTCTTGTCGTGATCTTGGTGGGAAAACAGGACTGCATTAATGAGTGCAGGACTGACTGGTAAATGGCTAATTTCTCAACATGGCAACATTTATTGTTAAGCAAATGAAGTTTAGCCAACACACATGTGGGTTTGTGTATTTCAACAAACAGACAAAAGATACTGTACCAACATACATATGTGATAGCCTTTACAAATGAGGAATGTAGAAGAGTACCGGGTATGTTATTTTCCAAAGGGTGTGAATAATTTTGAGTACCACTGTAAATGTATACATGTACATGTACAGTGTATGCATTAAACTGGTACTGATACATGTAATGGTGTATACAAGTACAAGTTCTAGTACTACATGTACATGTAGAACCTTAATGAGTACTGGGTACCAGTACATTGTTCATGACAGTGTAGTAGGATTTTCATGGCACCGGGATGGTAAGTTTGACTGAATTTGTATGTGATAACACTGGCCGCGAGGAGCATGCTGAAATTCAGGCCAGTTTACGCGTACTTGTACCGATGAGTACCGGGTACCAGTATGCACAAACGGAAGCAATAAAGATTTATTGGTACATGTACATGTACCTGCACAGTACATATACATGTACATGTGGATCATGTTATTTGTGCTGTAAATAGGTATACATTACATGTAGGTGTTTGATGGATGGTGGATGCGTACATTTCATTTATGAAATTAAAAGCATGAAATACATTTCAGATATTCTGTTTTTCAATTATGTTTTTGCATGTTATAAAGCCTTGTGTTTAGGGAAAATGGAGTTCATCAACCGATAGCGGAAATCTGATGAGTATTTTTTGTGTTGATTCCCCTTTTCCAGTATTTTGATACTTTTTAAGTACATGTAGGTGCATGTACATGTAACTCTCCTTTTGACTCTGCATGTACATGTACGGTATGATTATTGTGTCAAATGTTGCAAGGTACAGGTATCCTGTGTGTATTTGTTCAGTCATTTTCTGCTCAAAATTCTTAGTTGTAAATATTCTTTGTAAAATACTACAGTATGTATTGGTGTAATGGGATGAGATTGTACGGGATCTATGCCGTCAGAAAAGTGTAATTTGGCATATTTGACTGGAGTCAGTCTCATGTATGTGCTTACATGTACATCAACATGTGGCTGCTGTATATTGTTTCAAATACGAGTACTCTGTCAGCTGTTAGTGATGCTGTAATGTCATTGTCGCTCGGTCAACATTTATATTTAGAGCTGCCATGATTGTGCCACCAATGGCCATGGGGCTAATCGTTCGGTGTGATTGTTTTGCTTTAATCAAAATCACATTCCAGTTCTTGGGATGTGTAAAAAATCAGATAAAAATTCTAAAAAATAAGACGATACTTGTCCACAGTTCTCACTTGAGGAGCATCCCTTCCCTGTTGGAAATTTGCCAAAACCAGAAATTGCACTCACAAAGTATCTTCAGATTTGCCTTTTTATTAAATTCTAAATTCACAATAATTTAATGCTGTATGGTACACACAAGGCTACAGGTACATTTGTACATGTATGACTTAAATAATAATGACATTGAATTAGCAAATCAGGATTGTGGAGTAAATTAGCACAGGAGCAAAAATGTATTTATAGCATACATACTGGTATGTACATGTATGTGTATCAGGCTTTTTTTATTACATGTTTTATTTACATGTAATCTGTATTTGAAAATAATGATTACTTAATTAAAAAAATCTTCACCTTCCAGTCCTACATGTACATACATTGTATCTACGTGTATTTCTTTTCTCAGATATTTCAAAACCAAGAATACCATATTATCCCCTTTTTTGCAATTTCAAGAACCCTTTTTTATCCTAGCTGCAAGACACATTTTGAGCAGCCATTCCCAACTTAAAATATTACCCTTGACCATTTGTCCCTGATTAAAAAAAAAGGAGGGCTTACATATTGGTAGATCGATACTTTTACAGATAGTTAACAGGAAGGTAACTGACATATCACACAGCATGGACTGACCTGGATGCCGGCATTTACTGGGTTACCTAGCATGTGCACATATGTGCACGTGTAGCTGGGCCCTGGGGAATTTTCGCGTTGGCTGTCGCGCCACCGTGTAGCCTCAGCGCTGAATTGAGCGGTCTCGGGTTGCTCTGCCCCGTTTCATGCTTTGACTCCGCTGTCTCCGGTTGATGACTGCAGACCCTTAAAAAAAAACACATAATGACCAGGATGCCTTGAGGGGGAAAGCTTGTCCCAATTCTCATCCCCAGAAGTTCCGTGAACTTGATATTGTCAACTCAAATCAGCATTGCACTCCACCAAACCTTAGAGATAACGCTTTTGAATTAAGTCGTAATGCCGTAATTGACCATGGAGTTATTATAATTATGTTGGTTTAATAACTTGCCCCTGATTTAAGTCAAACGTTTCTTACCAATTGATTTTGGCGTATGGTGTACACGGCTACACGTACATGTAGGTTAAAGTGAGTTTTAATCTTTTTAAGTGCCATATTGAACAGTTCTTACTATTCACCCATCGGTACCAATAGCTGGAAAAGCTTCTATTTAAAAGCAACAATATTTGCAGTACATGTACACATGTATACTTGATGTACATGTACGGTACGTATAGTTTACAGGGTTACTGACATGTACATGTACATGTATGTTTTAAGAAAATGTATGTGTTCATCTCATATTCAAGATACTCTGTACAGTAAGCTTGTAGGTCAGTAGGTACAAAAAAGCTGAAAGAGAGGAATTGTCCAACATCACAAATACTGACTTCAGCCTGGTTTGGGGATTGGTGGGTGTACGTCCTAACCTTCAGGGATAAAGAGAATAAATCTGTGTAGTGTGCATGTACCGTAGTACTGTACATGTACAAGTACACAGTGCATGTATGCACAGTGTACAGCTGAAATGTTGACATGAATTTGCATATACCGGTATCAGTGTATATTGATTTTTGTATACCTTGTACTCCTAGAAAGAGCACACAAACAATGCACAGTACATGTACAACATGTAGTGTACGTTTTGAGTAGATGAAACTAAAAAACTTTATTTAGGAATAAACATGTACCAAAAAGTACTGGTACATGTATTGGGCATATTCGGTATCCACAAAAACATGGTGTTATTATACTGGTGCATTCTGGGATACTTGCACCGTACATTCTAGGATATGTATGTGCACATGTATGGATATGTGCAATAGTTACTCTCATAATGTACCCGGTACATGTGCACGGATTACATGTACCTGTACCGTACATTCTAGGATATGTGCACATGTATATGGGTATGTGCAATAGTTACTCTCATAATGTACCCGGTACATGTGCACGGATTACATGTACATGTACCGTACATTGTTAATAATATGTACATGTGCATGCGCATGCACCTGTACATTTCAGGAGCATGTTTGCAAATGAGACATACATTGTACATGTTCATGTTCATCAGGCCTGGTTACCAAGCACATACATGTACCAGTACATTCAATATTGACACAGCTGGTCTTATGAAAACCAGTGCATCTTAAGAGATTCGTCACTGGGTATGGTACATGTACATTTAGCATTGAAATAAATGAGTTCCTCATACGGTGCATACCGCGGTAGTAGACATTTCAGCATGCTGTTTTTCAATCTCTTTGGTATAGTACATGTAAGTACATGTAGTTGGTTCATTTGTCCTTCAAACTGGGCTTCCTCTTCTGATCACGCTTTCCTTTATAAGTTCCTTTATGATTCATGCATTTTTACAACAGTTCCAAAGGAAGTGTATCAAAAATTTGATGGGATGAGCCCTTTATTAAACTACATGTACATGTACCAGTACGTTAAGCCAGTCATTGAAGTGCTTACTTTTGTTGGACTTTGAACGAAATTGTGAAGAAATGACTTTTGGACAGTTCCACACCAAAGTGAAAAGTTGATCATGCTCTTAAGGAGCTCATCAAAGGTACATGTATCGGTAAACAGAGGGAATTGAGGAGAAAAGACACTGGAGATAAGTAGTGGTACCATAAATACTCATAGCACTGTTACTTTAAATTTCAGTTTGATTTTTTTGGGGGTACAAACATTTTGTGTTTGTGAATAGTGATTAAAACTGAGGAACCAAATGAAAAAAGGGCAAAATGGAGACGTTTACCCTTTTGTTCAATTGTGTTTCACATCCCAATCACCAAGGAATTGTAAAAATATGCATTCAAGAAACAGTTTACTGTTAACGGTACATGTAATTTATTCTGGTTATCATAATAATGTTAAGACTGATCATGTATGTTTGCTTGCATCTTTACTCAAAACTTATTGAAAGCAGGCCTTGCACTAACTTTTTTTCTTCTTGGGTAGCCCAAAATTGCAGATTTTGACAGACCCTTTTTGCTTTGCTTATAATGAAAAACTTCTTTACAGTTCACACGGGGTGCTGCTACTGCTACATGTATATGCGTAGACTCTGTACCAGACGCTACCGGCAGTGGCGTAACTACTGGGGTGCATGTGCCCTCCCTCGGGTCCCCCGCCCCCCATTTGAAATCCCTGAACAACCTGTGATGCAGCTCATTTGAAAAGGGAGAGAAATTGGTATTCCCCTTACATGTACCTTGGCTTTATTGTGGAAACATCATTGGTTGCGCTTAAACTTTAAAAAACAGATAACTTAGAACCTGCCAAGGGAGTGCATTAAAGAATCAGTAAAGACTTCGATCTGAAGTTGACGGTGTGTCATCGGCTTTGGAGGAATCAGCCGACCATCAGATGGGAGCCAGGGGCACTCATCTGCTTATCAGATGTTCTGTGCATTTCTCCGGGCACAAGAAAGATACCAGTACAGTACATGGAGATATACATTTATGCGCACATGTACTAGTACGTCATGGCACATGCCACATTCATGTACATGTAGGGTAAACGAACCGTATACATGTACATGTGTTCTGTGATATTCACGTAAATGATGGTCTTATTCTATCTGTTGTACATGTACCGGTACATGTATACGCACATGTACATGTACATACATGTATGTGTATGCCACTTCTGTAAATTATGCAGTACTAGTCTACATGTATTTTGGTTTATTGAATTGTGTATCATATTCTCATGAGGAATCCTCAAAAAATTTACCTGTGACTTGTCGAAATCACAGAAACAATAGTTTCAAAATATGTGTTGATACAGCAATTTCCCTTGTGTTGCCTCACAAAATGCTAGGTAATTTTTATATTTTAATTGCTACTTGCATGTACATGTACCTGTATGCATCTATTCCATTTTCTGTGGTCATTAAAAATCCTGTGTTGATTTCTGGCCTTTGATCTTCTCTCCTAAACCAGTCATCGGAGTAGGCCTACACTGTTGCTGCATGTACATAAATGCACATGTGTGCATGTAATTACATGTACAGTACATACAAGTAGGATTGAGGCTTCCTGTAGTCCATTTGGCTGGTTTAGCAGCACATTTACACGTACCATGTACATGTACATAAATGTATGCACAAACATGTACCGGTACATGTATATTAGTGCATACAAAAAACATGTTCACCCACGGTACATGTGTATGCAACATACGGTTGCTTACTTACATGTAAGTGACAAAAACATTTAGAAGTTGAGCTACATGTACATGTAGAATTTGCTTTGATGTTCTGGTCAGTCAGTCGTACCGGTACATGTACATGAACTGCCATCTTGAGGGAGGGAAGGGATGGGCCAAGTTGTCCCCTTGGGATGAAGTGGAATTTTTTAAGGAATTGAGAGTGCCAACACTTTAGAATTTGAAACAGTATGATAACACGTTTGACAATCATTGCTGAATGAATCCCCATGTTGCCTGCCTCCCTTCTCCCAACACTACTGGAGATAGTGTACTGCTTAGTTTACCCCTCCTAATTAGTGTGGTTATCTTCTGTTGGGTTTCTCTTGGCTGCAGACGCTTCCTACGCGCCACAGGAAGTCGCAGCTTGTCTGCCAAACCTCGGGATGAGGACATTGAGGATGAATGCGCCGGGGAGGTCACGGTTCACCCGGAGAGCCACAAGCCTACATGTGTCTGGGATGCCATGAAGAACCGGTCCTCCACGGTCTGTAGAGTGGTCCAGCCCATCAATCCAGACATTCCCATACCCGAAGGTTGGTACAATGATGCCAAGAGTGTCATTAATACAACATCATGTTCAACGCGCCTTGGTACAAGAGTACATAAGTACGTGCACAATATGCAGGATGCGTGAATAAGAAGTCTGCCCAGATGGAGAATAGATGTACCCGGGCCTTGTTCACTTCATGTACTGCTGTTTCACCATCAATTTCTTAAAACTTCCCAAGAGTTAAAAAAAGAAAATGGTTTCATCCAGAAATGGCAGCACAAGGGTTATGAAAGTGAAAACGGTCCAGAGACTCTGAGTCATACATGTACATGTAGTTTATGGGTATACATGTATCTACATGTGTCTGTATACTGTACTTGTGTCCGTACATACATGTACATGTGCATGAGTGTTGCTCTTGTTAACAAACTTGCACTGTGTGGTCTCATAATTCAACTTTCACATGCAGAAAGTAGCCTCCTGTAATCAGTGCTGCATCACTATTAACTTGTGCCTTATAGTTGTACGGGATTTGGGCTGAAACATGTTTATGAAGCAGTAAGAAATATCGGGGAAACACAGGGAGGACTTACAGCAGTCAAGATGCATCACATTGTTGGAAGAATATTTATCACTGATTCTGCTGGTACCTTGCTATCTTCAAAAATCCAGTAATGCAGGAATTAATTGAATTTACTTTTTAAGAATCATTTTCCAAACAGAAACCTCAAAACCTGACAGCAAGGCTCTAATTCCTAAATAAAGAATTAATTTTGCAGAAGTAAAGCAGTCACAACTTTTGCATATGTAAATACATTGTAAATTGATTGATACATTTTCTTGTTGGGAGATCGTCCATAAACATATACATGTATATGTGCACTTGTTGTCAAATGGCAACTTTGAAGTATGGTTTCTTACACTTTATCTTTGATTTCCAAGCCACAGTTATGAATCACATTCATGTGTGTTGACAGAATTTAAGACAAAAGGACCAACAGATAAACTGACACATATAAGCAAAGACAAATTTTTTTTCTTTTTTTATTTTAGGTTGTTTGCATCTACTGAGCAGAGGATGAAATATCCTTTTGACCCTGCATATTTTCTGACCTCATCCCAATCCGGTTCGCAAGTGTGACGTCACTTCAGTTTAAACCACGGCCACTGCATACATGTACGTGCACTGCACATAGGGTTACATGGAACCATGAAACCAGAAGTTAATGCGCAACTTCTGTGATCGTCCAATGGGAGCCTGTGAATCATGGCCCGTCTGCCTTTGTGACAAAGTCACTTACGAACCGGATATGCCTGAACAAAAGTGGATGACACCCTGCACATGACGGGTCATGTGACCTTGACAGATGGCAGGCCAAATACTGACGATGCCCCAGCCATGTTTGCATATTCTGCTGTCCACACTTTCTTGTATACACGTATGTGTATCAGAGTACATGCCCATGCTAGAGCACTTTCCATACCTGTATACATGCACATTGTTTTGCCTGAATGTTTACTTTTTATCCATGCATGTATTCTGTGCTGTATTGGCTAGTACCCTGACTTATTCTTCAACTTTATCATTTCCTTTTTCTTTGCTTCAAAACCTGGAAATACGTCTGTTCAGTTTGTTCATCAAGTCTTGCAAGAAAAGTGCCATGTTTTGATTTGTTTTCAAGTTTTTATTTTGAATTTATTTTGAAATCCACAAATGCTGGCAAATTCTTACATATGTCAAAATAAGAGGGCCCAAAGTTACCGGTACAAGCTGAACAGATTTTTTTTTTACTTCAAAACAAAATCTTTCTCAGAGATTCTAATAAGAGACAAATTTCACTTTTTCGAGTTTTAATCGTTAAGTTTACACAGGAGCTTCCTTCTTACTGGGTTAAATGAAGATTCTTGAAATATGCATGTACATAATGTAGATGTTATAGAGACCAAAATTATTATGGGGACGAAATCTGCTCCCATATTGCTGTTCTGTCTTTCTTAACAATAGAAATTGCCCCCCTTAACACGGGGAAGGCCTTCCCACTGCAGTCCATAAGCATTTTGCGGTGCAGCTACTTAATCTTATTTACAGAATTTAACATCAGGGTAAATGTTTAAGTACATTGTACATGTATTCATGATTAATATTAAGGTGTTCTTTGTGTTTTTCTTTTGAGCACACTTAGTTTTAATTTTGCTTGTTCGGTTTCCATCCTGCATGCCTTCACCTCATTTCAGCTTTACCCTGATTTTTTGCATGGTATCCGTCTTTGTGTTGCACTGTTCAGGGGCCGTACGCTTTGTTTGTATTTCTGACACACACAACCAAGCCGCCCGTCTTCTCCCGACAATACCCGACGGTGACATCCTTATTCATGCGGGCGACTTCACCAACATTGGTCGCCCCAGGGAAATAAAGAGATTCAACGAATTCTTGGGTGAGTCTTGCCTCCCTCCTGGTTTATTTTTTTGTTCATGTGTGTCTGTCACTACGCAGGTTACACCAGGTTTGTCTGCATCTCGGACACGTTTTCGAGGACAAGTCACATGGCCAAGATACCAGAAGGTGATATCTTGATCCATGCCGGCAATTTCAGCAACATTGGTCTGCCTAGGGAGGTTGTAGCCTTCAATGCATTTCTGGGTGAGCTGAGTACACGTCGATCTTGTCACAGTTGTCGAAAATATGATGAGAAAGTTGAAGATGTCCTGCATGTATTAGTTGCTCTTTGTTTAAGAGCTGATGACAGCTGAGGTGTGTTCAATACCATTTACAATATTTTTAGGTCTTACTAAAAAAGAAATTGTTCAGAGTAGGTAGGCCCCTAGTTCTTCAAGTTGTGTACAGTTTTGGATTGCCAGCAGCCTTAGCCCTAACAGTTGGAATCCTCCATTTTGACTGAAGAAATTACATTTACCATGAAAATAGTTATGTATAATTCAAATGTACTTGTAACCAGTGACTTTTCCTAACCCACAGTAGGGTAAGTCAAAACTATGGTATTTTAGAATATGTAGAATATGGGATGGCGCACCATTAATAGTCTCTTTTGCTTTTGAGAGTAAAAATTGACAATTGAGAATTTAATCCATATTTATGTTAAGCTGAAACTTGAAAGACCCTACAGTATATTCCAGACCTGTATCAAAAACAGGCCTTCGTTTTATTTTGTTGTGTGAAGATTTAATGTCATGATGTCCTGTGCAAAAAAGCTTGAACACGTCCATTACTGTACCGGAACCTCTCCTGAACATGCACCATTTCAAATGTTCTTAGGAAACTTTGCAGAGGTCATTAATGGAGTTGCTGTTAAATGTTGATTATTAAACTGTAAGTTGGAAATCAAATTTGAAGTTTTAAAAGTTTAAAAGGAAACACATGCATTTGCTTTCCTTCCCCCAGGTCAGTTGCCTCACAGGCACAAGGTTGTCATTGCCGGCAACCACGAAGTGACCTTTGACCGGCAGCTAATGACAGAGCAGAGCAGCCACGTCTTTATGAGCTTTGCCACGGCGCTGCAAGAAGTCAAACAAGAAGATTGGAAGCACATCCCCTCGTTGCTTACCAACTGCACCTACCTAGAAGATGCCGAGGTCAACATTATGGGATTCCGTATCTACGGGTCGCCATGGTAACTACATGTATATCTATTGATTTTTTTCCAATTGTGATCACAAGTCTTAAATATAGAACCTCCTTATGAATTTGGTGACTACAAATACTAATTTTCACACCTATGATGAATTTTCAAATTTGTAATAATTCGAAATCCTGAGGGAATTTTCATGTTATTTTGATAATTTTTTTGATTGGTAGTACTTAGATCGGTTGATTCATGAATGTATCAGACACTGTTGACAAAGTGTTGAGTGCGTTTGAATTTGGCCGTTTCATTGTACAGTTAAACATTGCGTAATGTTGAAGGAATCTTGGTAAAATAGATCGCTCAGGGACACAAGCATTATGGTACATGCTTGTGTAGACAGCACCCGTTGAGGCGAACTGTCTTCTGTGTCTTTCCATTCATAGGCAACCAGAGTTCTGTGACTGGGCTTTCAATTTGCCAAGAGGTCAGCCGCTACTTGACAAATGGAACCTTATTCCAGCGGGCATTGATGTGCTAGTCACGCATGGACCACCATTAGGTAAAGTACCACTTGTCTGTCTAATCCCCTGCCCCCCGGCCTTGCTGTTACATTGACATTGTGCGTATAAAGAATACATTGAGCGCTGCTATGGTCTGGATACTACCGTGATCTCTCTGATATAGTCAGAGACTGACAGCAATCAGGATAGCTCTTTTGCCATGATCAACCGTGGCAGTGGATGAGCATACATAGGCATCGTGTTTCACTTCAAAGCTTACCAGAAAATGAAGTCGGTAAGATGAGAGGGACAACAAACCACAGAATCATCGCAGCACACAGCAGTCTAGAAGCTTTGATGGCTTCAGTCAATTAGGACAAGTATCCAGTCTTGGTGCAGCTCTTTCAGAAGCCTCTGCAAGGACCCAGTACATGTAGCTGAACATTGTAATGAGTGGCGGGTTCCCTCTAAGTAGCATGAAGTAGACTTGGAGTCCAGGAGAGTAAAAAACAAAGCAGCTCAAAACTGGACCTGACTTAAATCTCAACCTGGTTTTATACATGTAGACTCGCTTTACTCACAAGTGAGAAATAATGTTCGACAAACTTATGCATTAAGTGTTGAGCAAAAATTAGCTGGGAACCAGTTACAATAAATACAGAATGCTGGTGATCTTTGTTTCTCAGTAGCACTGTGAAATTGTCTAAGCTGGTTCTTGTGTATACTTGATTTTGCATTCTGAAATGCTTATATTAACGTCATAATAGTAATTAATTTTCAATTCAATATCGTGAATTTAGATTTGCTGAGTCTGGATGTTAGTTTCAAGACACAGTATTGTAGGTTTGATCAATGTACCTTTTCCAAATAGACCATATTCACGGCGTTCCCAATTTCAGTCATATTCCCCAAGGTAGTGTATTTATTGGAAAATGTTAAATTCAAGGAACTAGACTATATTCTACGATTTCATTCTGACCCCCCCAAATCACCTGGTACCAACCCCCTTATGGATTTAAAATTTGTACTGTATGTTAAGGAATATGACTGAAATTGGGGACGCCGCGGATACAGTCTATTGGGCCATCCAGGACTCCATCGTTGTTTAAATGGAAACCCTGCTGCTTTTGGAGTCCCAGGAGTAATTATGCTATCTCCTCCCTGATTGATAAACATTGGTGTGTTGACCTTTACTTGAGGGTAGTACCAACGAGATTATTATGGTTTGATGAGAGTGCATCTTAAAGGCCCTGTCTAAATAAACAGGCTGTGGCTAGGAGTAACATTTACGTCTATGGAAACAGCTGCAGCTTTTTAGTAAGTGGCTTCCATTGGCATACATACATGTAGCACTTCCAGCCACAGCCGTAACTTTTGAATACAGCTTTGTCTGGATTTAGACTACGACTCAACTACGGCGAAAGAGCAGCATAGTGAGGCACGCTGGCATATCCTGCCTGACAAATCAAGCCAACAGATCTACTGTACATATAGAGCTATTGCTTTCAGTGGTAGTAAATATATCTGGTAATCAAACCAAAATTAATTAAAATTAATCCAAGGATTCCTCAGAGCACCCCTAGGCACTGTAGCACGAGAGGAGACAGTAAGAAGCAGTTACGGTTTTAGAGGTGGGATAAAAACCCCAGAGGAATATTCTGGGTAAAACCCACGGGATCAGGTAGGGGCTGAAAACCTAATCCACATGTGGACCGGGCTGGGATTGAACCCAGGCTGCACGTGTGTAAATTACTAGATCTGTGAATTTGATTGGTCATTGTACATGCGCAATGCATATGAAGCAGCTTTTTCCATGTCTGCACAGGTCATGGGGATTTGACCACATCCAAAGAGCGAGCGGGCTGCGTGGAACTCCTCACTACTATCCAGCGCCGGGTCAAGCCCAAGTACCATATCTTCGGACACATCCACGAAGGCTACGGTGTCACCACCGACAACAAAACCACGTTTATTAACGCCTCCATCTGCACAGTTAACTACAGCCCCTCCAACAAGCCCATCGTGTTTGATCTCCCTACACCAAAGGTCCCCAACATGGAGGCAGAGACATCAGTTTAACCTTTTCACCTCTGTTGAGGCAGAGTTACATGTACGTCATTTTATTGACCCTTGTCTGACCTCAGGTTCTGTGACCTTTGAGATTATGATCAATAGGGTCTGTTGCAAATCCTTTGTATTGTTAATAGATGATGTAAAGTTAATAGATGGTTTAAATCTTGAAAAAAGTAGCTGATTACATTAGGGGCCTGTATTGCACGATCTTTACAATTTGGTCTGGTTTTATAATTATTTATGTGGAGGCAAGTCATGTGACTTGCATAGACTAATTAAACGTAAATATGCAAGCTGTACCATCTCGTTGCTAGTAAGCATTGCTAATTTTCTAACCCATGTTGTCAGGCAACAGTAAAGTGGTTTTTTGTTACCAATATTTGTACTAGTTTCTTAATACTTTTATGAGAAACCGTGCTACGATCAGATTTGTTCAACCAAACAAAAAAAGGGGGCCAAAATGTTTTAGGCAATAAAGGCAAGCTCAGTGATGTTTCAGCATGCTGTGCGAGAGGTAATGAGGTATTGATTATGACTTTTTGTATTAGCGTCAGTGCACAGATGAAATAGCGCTACTTTAGGGAACATTATTGGACAAATGTATTTGAAGTGCCGAAATTGGTGGGTTGAATTTGACTCCCTTTTTGGCCGTATATGCCTGTGACTTTTTCAAAACGTTTTTTAATACTTTTTTTATAAAAGTTTGTTCTTCAGAGTTATCAAAGACATTGAAATGATAGCCATTAAAAAGTACACACATGTAAAAGCACTGTAAAATCTTCAATTGCAGATGAAATTAAACGTTGCTACAAAGCCATTTGGATACGATTTGAACCGTGCAGAATCGAGAAAGCAATTGTTTCTGCAACAGCATGCAGCACATTAGCAAAATTAGGATATTTGAACTGTTGTCTCTGTTAAACCCTGATACCTCTTACCTTCGGGTCACATCTGTTCTAGCAGGTGAAACCGAGGATGGGCTCTCAACTACTGGTTTCTACTGACACTTTCTGAATTTTATGGAATGCTCCTATTCCTGAACTTTCAGATGCAAAGACACATTCTTGACACAGTTGTCCTATCAGTCAAAACGAGTCAAATTTCCCATATGTGTCTGTGTACTGGGGGAAATCAAGTGGAAGGAATTTTTGACTGTTTTTGACGGTTACAGCAAAAGGAGGGTTTTAATCTAAAATACTGTTCGCTGTTGAAAGTAGTGTGTGGAAAATGTTTTGCAGACATTCATTGGTTGGTGATGCAGATACTGTCAAAGGACTTTTTGTACATTCTTGTTTTGTTGTTTTGTAGCTGTGGTGATGTTTTATACTGCTACTATTTTACAACTTTTGTATTTTTTCAGAGAAACACAGATTTGGAAAGTATTACTCCAAGTTGCTTCCAGATAACTTGATCAAGTACCTAGATGTTTAACAAGAAAGCTGTGCATGAAATATTGCGTGGTGTGAAGTCACGGAGTGTTGATTACAATTTAGAATTGGGTTGACAAGGGTCATCCTTTGGATTTTCATTGAGAGAGCAAGTTCTGTCAAATTCAGATGACCTCTGCAGAGTACATTTTCTGGTGGTCACATTCTTTGATCATTACCAGCAGAAATGGTGTCATACAAAATGACATTTTAACCTTGCCCAAATCTGTTGACCATATATCATTGGTGCAGACATGTTTGATAGTACAATTAATGTGTTCAAAGCACTCCTGAAAACTTTAAAACTAAATATTACTCGCAATTAAGGCTTCTCCTTTTTTTATAGAGTGCAATACATGTTCGTCCGTTGACAGTGCAAACAGCCCACATCAAGTCATTGGTCATTATTAACCATTTTTAGGCCATCATGTACCATACAAAAGCAGCTCATCTCAGTGAAACTGTGAACCTAGAGTTTAGATGTGCATCTATATGTATATCAGCCACAGTTCATGACTGCCATGGTGTACATTGCTTTTTGTACCTTGCCTCTCTATTAGTGAAACACATGCACATGCATGGACTTTTTGGAGAACACTGAAAAAACTCAGCTTGTTTGACGTGCTGGATTTTGATACTTGTGAATTCCCAGTTTTGTGAATGCACTCAGTGATAACTTGAAACAAGACTACCTTAGAGGCAATGAGCTATGAATAGATTCACCATTGGGTACATGTATCTCATTAAAAACTCATTTATGATTGCTTCTCTTTTTGCAAGTAACCTAACTGGTACATGTGTAAACCTGGTTTAAATTCACATCATACTGCACACATGCTTGATGGGTAGTATTGGGAGCTTATGAGAGTAATGAAGTAAAAATTCTCCACAACTCAGTCCTCTTAATACGGTGTTCTTTCGATGAAAAAATTGTGTTGCGTTGTGCCGACCCGCTATGCTACGATGGTTCCATTGAGCGGTGCCATTGCGTTGCTTCTTTTGTTGTTACTTTTATGCTGTTTTTTGTGTTGTGTTGTGGCATTGCGTTGTGGCATCGTACTGTTTCTTGATGCTGTCGCGTCTTGCCCTCATACCGTTGCAATGTCGCATCACCTGTTATTGTATCGTTGTGGGTTAGGCCGTCATGTCCTGCCATCATGTTGTCGTGTCCTGATGTCATACCATCGCGTCATGTCATTACACTGTTGTGTCGTGCTGTCACATCGTGTCATCTGTCGTATTGTGCCACCGTACCTTACTGTGTTTAAAAAAGGGCTGATGATTATCACACCCAATAAAGGGCGTATGTCACAAGTCATGGGGAAAAAAAGTGTGGGTGCACATGGTGCATAGGGTTCTACAAGATGTGATCATGTGATGGTATCTTTTGGTATGGTATTGGAACTGCCTTCCATCTCTTAAGACGCCCTCTATTTCCACCAGTAATGAGGCAACGGTGAGAGTACGATGTGACAGCACGATGCGATGGCACGATGCAACAGCTAAAGGGCACGACTTGATGGGTCGATGGTACAGCATAACAGGTTGAACGCACAACGTGACGGCATGAGATGGCATGACGCAATGCCGACAGTACGATGGCACGATGCTGCGGCATGATGGCGCGACATGATGAGGACTTAGGGCTGTCACTGTTTTGTCGTCTGTAAAACAACTTTGTCCTTGCTAGACAGTAGTAGCTGTTTGTCACACTCTGTAAAAAAATTTATCCTGCCTTTAGCCTCCACATCCGTGCACAGAGCAGACAGAACTGCAAGCTTTATACCAGAGGAATAAACTTGACAATTGTTTTGCAGTATTAACGACATTTTGTAAAGTAAATATATGAAGCCTTACATTGTTACAAATCGCTGTGAAATTATAACTCCCTCGTCTATTTTCTAGTTTATCAAATAATATGATATCCATCGATATGTTCATGTTATAGCATCTTGATAGTGTTCCGTTTAAATCCTCTTTTCTTTTGAGTTCTTAAAAGCCAGCCATGGGATTAATTTATTTCATACATATTTTAATATGAAAGAATTACCAGCTGAAATGTTTTATTTGGTGAGGTTAGAGAACTTCAAGGAGGAAACAAATCCACTTCATTTCAGGAAGAGAGAAAAACTATGAAAACTACAAATTTTATTTTCTGTGAAATGTATATTTTATGCTGATGTGACACTGTCATCAGTGTTATGAAGTCAATTATTTTTGAACTGCGCCAAAATGAAGGCTGTTGTCGAATTTTTATTTGTTCTACCTCCTTTGGGAAAAGTAATTCTCTTTTTTTTTCTTTGAAAATTGCTACACTTCTCTTTCAGACAGAACATCAGTCTTGACTAAGTATTGAGTACCTTCAGCAAAGTTGTTTCATGATTGTGCAGTGATTTGAATGTCCAAGAGATTTATTGTCGTAACTCAAGTCTAATATTACAAAGAGTGTGGAAAACTCGTTTCCATTAACCTTCCAATCTTGACAAGGTTTTGGAGGATTTTGTAGGATTGAGGAAGGTAGAGCCTAACCACTAGTACATGTTCCTTGATCCTCCTGCAAGATAAGGTACAGAAAACATGCTTTTCATCTTCTGCAGAGTAAGGTGTTTTTGAAGATAAAGGAAGGTTCCTCGATAGTTTTCAGAAGTTTGGGTTATTACGTCATGCTTTGTGCAATTTTTGTAATTACATTTGTTGTGAGTACATCAAAACGTATATTAATTTTCAAACAAGGGCAACTTTTGTTAGAGCCTGGTATTTACATGTACGTAACAGGTCTTAAAAGCGTGATTGTACTAAAGGTATAAATACTATTTGAAAAGAATTAGGTAAATATACATTGGTATATTTTTGGTTTTGTCTGACATAGAATTTCATCCTTTGTGTTTCATATTTTATCACATTTTGTCATTGGTTAAAAAGTTAAATGTTAGGCTGTGCAATTTGTGCTTGAGTAAATATGTGCAATGTAAAAACAAATTGTGCTGTACATTTTTGTAAAAAAAAGGTTTCTAGGGATCCAAATCGCTCTCTGAAAGTGTGTAATATGTAGGTTTTTTCCTGAGATCTTGGGCTTTGAACATAGTATCATGAATCAGTGGTGTTTCTACCACAACTCTTTTCACAAGTCCCAGCCATGAGTAGGTCCCAGCCATGAGTAGGTCCCAGCCATGAGTAGCAGGGTGAATTAATGACAAAGGAATACTTTTGTCACAATTCAATTGAATCATTTGGGGCTAAAGTCAGGACAACCTTTGATGGACTTCCAGGGACTGGTGACGGACTTGACCACAGTGCTGTCATAATGATGGATTGTGATTTGTGTACATGTACAGGTACATAAAGCATGTGATGAGTGGGCTTTCCTGGGCAATCTGTGTCCGTGGGAAGAGGTGCTGGGTCAAACTTTGATGGTTGCCCCTTGTGTTTTGCGCATGACACCCAATTACAGACCCAAGGGGATTTAACCTTATCTGTATTAGATCAGGAAATATACTCACATACATGTACTTGTTCTGCCGTTGAGGGACTACACAGGTGATAAACAGACATTTGTAAGGGCCAAAAACATTGAAGGGACACTTAATGTCCTCACAACTTAACTGGGTCTCAACTTTCCTGACAAGAGAAATTGTCTCAAATGCAGTGAAAGTCTGGGCAATAGTGCGTGCCCACAAGTGTGTCAATATAGTAGGACATCATTGTGCCCCGTAGTAGTACGCAAGTAACATGCCGTCTGCATGCCGTGCCTGTTGACAATTTTGATGTGCTAATTTGGAGTTGTTTCCGTCATTGTGGTATATATAAATTCAAATCGGAACCTTTGAAATATCATATTGGTGACTGGAAAATTTAACTTTGTCTGAGGGGCATGGATATGATGGTGCTTATGAGAAAAGTAATACCTATCAAACTGCCGTTCAGTATTAGACAATATAATACATGTATGTTTGTGTACATGTACATGAAGGCCTGCCCCTGGCTCTGTGGTACAGTTGCAGAACATAACTGGCGACTTCTCAGAAATCTTGACTTCTCTGATATGCAGACAGGGATTCCCAAATGTAAAGACACGTATGTATGTTTCAGCAGAGCCTTGAGATCAATAGAGACATTATGAGAATGAGTAGCATGACATTCATATGACCCCTGAGGTGGGATCAACTCATGGGCATTCGATGTGTAAGCGTTTGTGAAAACGACATGTACATTTAGGTCAGAACTAGGCCATCTGTCAATGTGCAAAGACCTACATGTATACAATTTCAAAACCTTTGAGGCTGTTGCCTATCCCGGTATGCATGTGTATTGTGTGATAGGAAGTCAGGATTTCAGTCTAAATGCAAGTGTCCTCTACTCTCTCGCATTGACTTCACCCAAGTCATTTGGCTAATGACTGGAAGTAACACGGTTTTTTTTCTGTTTATAGACAAGTAATTCAGATATGGTCATTATTGGCCTGCACAGTGCCGTTGTTTAGTGCATGCACAGATCAAATCCATAGCTTCTCTCAATTCATTTTGTAACGTCACTTTTGTGGCATTAACCTCTTTTTTACATCCAAGACTGGTCTTCCTTGAAGTCGACCAAATTTTCTATTGCCAACAATAACGCTTTTCACGGATGACAGCATCGTGGTAACATGTACGTACATCTTTTTAAATCTTTCAACTTAAGAGTGAACCTTTATGTAACAATTTATAACTGCCAAAATGTCAGCGTCCTTTGAAGAAATCTAATTTTGTTCTGTGTACCTAGCTTTTACTACACTGCAGAGTTTTTAGTACCAGTGTACCATTTTAAATATACATTTGTTTATGAAATATGGTTTACATTAAGTAAAAGGGAACTATTTGCCTAGTTTATTAAGTACATGTATATGCATTGAAGAAAGGACTTTTACCTGCCAAAATGTGGTTTATTGCCAGCAGGCAGTTAAATCCCCGTGCCCTATAAAATATTACCTGCTTTCTGTTTCTACCACATTCTTTCTTTTTTAATGATTAAATTCTTGAGGTGCTGACAGCTGCAAGTTACATGTACCTGTAAATGTGAAGGAGTTTTGAGGACCGTCATACTGGCGATTTGCAATAGTGTGCCTCCAAGAGTTTCCAACGCGTTGGCCAATCACAGTGTGCAAAATCTGTCGATCTGTTCCAAACGCACATTGGGTCGACAGATTTTGTGCATCGTGATTGTGATTTGTGAATCGCCCGTATTGTTTTGCTACCAGAAAAAAAGATAAAGGTAACGGAACACTAAACCACGTAAAGCCAATAAGGGATCCTGCAGTCCTGTAAAGATTGTTATCTGGGAAAGAGGGATCTTGAACTTGAATTAACCCCTTCACGACGGATGACGGTAAGAGCTGCCGTAAAAATTGAGATCCTCAGCCCGCTTTTCAGCGATTAATCTTGGCCCACGCTCGAGCGAACACAGTGAAAGAAGGCATACCCTGGCTCTTGTATATATGGTGATTGGCCTTTGTGTGTTGCCAAGAAATGAAAAGACCGAATTTGCATCATAATCACCAGCTTCACAATAATCCCACTTTAAAAAGAGGCAATGGGAATGTGGAAGCGTGAGTAGAGCTGCATGCCACTGAACAATGAGCCTTTTCACTGTGTAATTCAAAGCGTGCAGAGAACACAGGCCACAAACCGAGAATTTGCAGTTTGGCAGGTGGCCTTCGTGGCCAAGCGAGGCTGGAATTCTCGGAGTTGGCTTTCAGAAAAAAGTTCCCGTCATCGAGGGGTTAAGAAGAAAGTCGGAGAACTAAACAAGCCTGGCTGAAAAGTAGAGTTACAAAATGCTGCTGCTCTCTGTAAACAATGTACATGTACCTAGCCGTGCCCAAATAGAAGTATTTATATCAACTGAAAAATAAAAATTAAAACAAGTACATTTGGGGAAAGGCAGATGTGGCCTTTCCTTAATCCACCATTGTCAGGATGAAATGGTGTTGCATGTAAAGGGACCATTATTATTGACCTAGCCATTTTTTATCAATTTTAAATATATCAGTAGTACATATTTAAGGCAGATATGAGGCGTTCTTTAATGACTGCATATGCCTTCATATATTTGGCAATTCATGTTAAAACAGTAACTGAATCATAAACCATTATTGATATAGCATAGGAGAGACCACTACTGACTAGGAACGTTATCACTTGCAAAAATACAGGTTATTTTGGTCAGGTGATTTAATCCTGAACCAAGTACGAGGACGCTGTGAAATGGCAAGACGGCAGAAAAGGAAAAGTTGACCATTTTATTGTGGAGAAATTTTTGGTAGAGATGGTATGGTGTTGTAACTGTGCAATAATGGTTTAAAGGTTTAATTTCATGAAGCGACATTTGTCAGGTTGGTGGGCCAAGTGGAAAAGTTCATGTAACGTGTAGGTCTCTAGCTGGCAAAGAGTTTGTAAGTGGTGTTTTACTCTGGAGCTGTAAATTTGGCTTGTAAACATGATATAAATAATTACATGTACAAAAGCAGGCTAGTGACAGGATGGTTCCACTACGATATGAAGGATGTGGCATATGAAAGTATTGAATTTGTGTGTGTTGAAGGGATTGCGACATTTCTTAACCCAACATGAACAGCAAAAATCACAGCGAAAGGGTAGTATTTTAAAGCATGTGACGTGCGTTCCCAAAGTTTATTGTGGTGTAGGCATAATTACCTGTATCTAACTGCAGCTTGGCTAATTGTTTTACTACACTGCATGGTTGAACTTTCTAGTTAACTATTTAGAACTAGAATGCAAGTTGAAGCGACAACCATTTGTTAACCACTGAGTTTCCCTGGTAGCCTACATTCTGGGTACCAGGCAAACTCGACCAGTAGTTGACAAATGGATGTCATTGAACTTGCCCTGTCTGAGCCCCGTTTTGTCATGAAATACACAGGGAACGACTGACAAAATAACTGCGTGAAATGGCACCATTTGTAATCAGTGAAGTATGCAAGCACCAGTTGGACTTTGTCATGCTAAGACTATGGTCATTTGAGTGGGACCGATTGTACTGCCCACATCACACAAGATTAACTGATGGTAGAACCCTACTGCAGTTAAACATCTCCATTTTGGATTGGCATGAAAATACACCGTGTTCATTGTGGCACCCAGTAGCTATGTCAAATATGAAATAGCCTTCTTATCCAAGCTTGGTGGGTGGTTGGGCAGGAACTACAGGGTTGGAGTCCAATTGATGTCTGCCCCTTGTTCTCACTAGCTTTTTCTCCCACCAAGTCAGTGCACCTGTGGTCATCTGTAACTGGATCGTGGGGTTGGAAATGGGCAGGTTCAAAAAAATCAAACACCACAGACATATTTTGAATGTGCCAAACTTTACATGTAAAAAACCAGTGCAGTGTTTATCTTTTTTCAGGTACAATGCGTGAGGTAACGAGGTTAAAGCACGGCTAAATGTTGCGACGGTGGAGGTTCATGCAAAAGCACTTTTTGTGCAGTTACAGTGGTTAGAATTGTTGAATTTTGAATGGGAGCTCTTGCTGCTCTGCCATATAGGTTTTTATACTTTTGGATTAATGGCCAGAGAATGTGCTCTTTTGTACGGCATTTGCTACGGAAAAATAAAATACTATGAATATTAGGAAAAAGTGTTGTCTGTATTTTGTACAGTGTAAATCAAACTGGAGACGGGTTGCTATTTACAAAAGTTTACTTTATTTTCTGATTCACAAAATACTTGACAAGTTGACATGAAAACTGATAAAATTCGGATGTAGCTACATTTGATGCATGTTACATTGCGTTGGCTTTGGTCAGAGTTGAAATCATGTCAGTCCACAAGTCAGTTCCCAAATCAAGTTAGAACTAAAGAAATTAGCAATGAGAAAGGGTTGCTTTTGTCCAAGTTCATTGAAACAGCTTGTGAGTTGACTTTGAATGACTTTTGACCGACTTCGGGTGACTTATGGCGACTCAAGACTGACTCAATGCCAACTCTAGCTTTCAATTCATAAATGAAATCTGTCTCATATTTACAATAAGTCAAAGCAGAGAACAAATGAGATGAACAGGGGATGCAATTTCTGTGAACAATTTCAAATGATAAAAGAGCTCTGACTAAAGAGTTCTTTTGCGGACTCCTTCAATGTTCTGTTCAAGGCAATGTACATTCCAAACTTGAGGCGAGTCTCTCCTCGAGGGAAACAGTAATTATTCATAGATTTTACAGCTTTGTATTGTTTAAAACAAGTGTCCCATTACTACAGCAAAAACCCTAAGGTGACCCAAAGTGTGTCCCCTCAATTTGCTTATTAATGACATCAGACTGCATTTTCCATCATCCCCAATAAATTAATTCTATTTTACCAAATTTGTAAGGCAGCTTGCCTCCCCTCTGGTTAAAAATGAAACTGCGACAGAAAATGATTACTTCTCTTTTTCAAAAATAATTTAAAATAAACTGCTTACACTCTTACTAGCATGCCACTAAATCCACCTGCCATCAAAAGAGGGCAGTATTTAAGCCAATGAATCTGTGTAAAAGTTACAGCATCCGATGCATAAACAAGTCATTTTTATCTACATTGTACAACTCAAAAAGACGTCTGCATGAGCACTGTGATATACAATTACAGCTTGAACAAGTCTGGAGCATAATTCCAAACGGTTGTAGGACAAAATTTTGCTAGATAGATAGCAAATTTACCCCACATTTAGAGCTGAGAACTAGTTTCACATGCACATGCATGTGCGTCACACAGCATTTTGAACCGGTAACCCGTTTTTGGCTTAGCGAAGTTGTGAGTTAAGTAATTCAAAGTTCAGGTCAATTTAAGACCAAAGAAAACGTTACGATAAAAATCTGAGAAGTGCATGGTTACCATGGCAATTTTTATTTGCTCTCAACATCTCATAAGATATAAACTAATCTTTACTACCCACAGGTTTTTGGGCTAGGGAGGGAAGGACTTACGTAGGAGAACAGAGGATGGGGTTTAATGCGAGGGGGGGGAGATCAAGACTCACTCTCTTCTGAGATTATCTAATCTGGCCTGAAGGTCATCGTCCTCTCCCCCTCCCTCTGCTACGGCTTGCTTCGCTGGCTCCGCCTTCTGTGTCAGCGCACCACCCGTTCCTGGAATCGCTGTTGGCAAAAAAGAAACAGATCTCTCTTCTAAAATCCAAATGAACTGCGCATCTTGTTCCAATTTGGAATAAAGCTGTAAACGTCTGCATGGCTTGCTCAAGGACACAAGCAATACCGTTCCATTCTCTTGTCTCTTACAGCGGCATTCTCTCTCTCTGGACATAGCTGACTCTTGCTCATACCGACACATAAAGCCCTGTTCTAAAGTGTGCTTTACGTGTGATTGAAACGAATGAGACAGGCACTCCACGTACCACAAAGTTATAACAAACATTTTGGCCAGGCGGAGCCTAGTTTGTATAAATTAAAGTGGAAAGTCTAGCCTCCGAGGATGGCCAGTCTGTTGACATCACGGCCTCTGATCTGACCCAGTCTTCAAATCATTTATGTGGTTATGCACATGTACTTGTGAGAACTAAATTGATGCGACAAGGAGGGCAGCTCTATCAAAACAAACTACAGCCAATACAATTTCAGCAATATTAAGGGCTTCGACTGCATGTAAACTATAAACTGTTTTGAATACGAGATCGTCAATTTTGGGCACCGAAATCTAACGAGCATTAAGATTTAACTGCACACATTCTCTGCCCTTGTGTCATTGTAATGTGCAGTGTATAAACCATTTCCATCCCTTGACAACCTCTGTGCGTTTTAAATGAACATGAAAAGATAACATACTAGTGCAAACAACTTACCGGTGAGTTCATCAGTGAGCACAAGGCCAAGCTCATCCAGGACTTGAGACACGACGGCATCGCTAAAAGGAGACAAATGATGCAGTGAGAAATGAATGCATAGTCACACTGAATAATTTTGGCTTTCCTTTGCGACTGCTTCTGTGATGAGCCAAGCGAATTCTAAAAGAGCAAGAAATCACCACGCAAATATACATTTCCATTCCCCTATTAGTGACGGCAGAGAGAAACAGGTCTGAAATGGAACACCAATTCCTGTGTGCACCCAGGGCTCTAGAAAAGAAGCAATGAGTTTGTACACATTCAAATGAAAACCAGTTCAGTACATCTCACGTCACACAATGTCTCATTCAAACCAGTTTTTATGAGTGATCAAACCATCTATGATTTTTGTGTGGAGTCAACCCTGATAACAGGTTGTCAGCAGTAGTGTCACAGGATTTTTTTTTCGGGGGGGGGGCACACATTTTTTCAACGGGGCACTGAAAGCAGACGAAGTGCAGCCTGTACAGTATAGCTTCAAAATTTCAAAGGGAAAGGGAGGAACTGGGGGAGGGGCATGGACTTCTGGGCTGTGGGAGGGGCATGGACTTCTGCCGGGGGTGGCACTGGTTGACAGTTACAAACACCATGAAATCCTGGTAACAGAAACATGAAGAACTAAAAGAAACCAAACCACATGGTACATGTGCATGTTCCTCTTTATAATGGCCATTACAGTGCTTTGCACCTTTAACCTGCCTCTGCTGAAGTCGCTCTTTGGGTCAATTAGAAAGCTGCACAAAGATGTACAGCTGTGTCATGCTGTGCACTGCACCAACAGTCCCTCACAGGAATATCAGATTACACTTTTGTGCTGCCCAACAACTGTGCTTCACTGTTTCATGTGCATAATTGTGCAGTAAACCAACTGCAGTGAAGAGGACGGCACAAAAGACCCTGTGATATTTTGTGCCGGCAACCAACCGTATGCTCATTGAACCCGTGCATATTTGTGTTCCATGTAAAAACACATGCACAAGAGTGACTGTTAGCATTCATGCATATCTGTGCTGTTAAACCCTAGATGGGTTAATGGCATTTAGCAAAGGTGGCGGTTTTGAGTTTCTCTCACGTTTCTTCCTCATCTTCCTCATCGCCAAGAGCATCGTCAACCGCATCATTCATCATCTCCTCCTTCATGTCCAGAATCTCAGACTGCTTCTCAAATTCCATCATGATCTTCTGAATTTGTGGTAGCTTCAACTGTTTCAAGTGAGAAGAGACAGAACCTTATTGGTCATGGAAGCTGTAGTGTTCTAATTCCGTCAACATCCACCTTATGGCCGTATTGATTTCCTTTTTAATTGCTGCTGAAAAAACCCGAATGAATTCAATGTAACAACGAAACGTTTTCGACCTCATCAGGTATTAGTCTGCCATGTACAAAGGTCAGATGGGTTCATGTGAAGATAAACAGTCAGAAAGTGACAGCTGTCTGGCTGTAATTTCCCCTCTGGTTAAGTTCCGCCCCTGCCTGAAGCACTCCCTCACCACCGAGGAAGAGACTGGCTCATGGGAAATTTTCCAACCCAGGATGATTCATGTGCTCGGCGCACATGTGCAAATGTGCATAAACATGCGGTTTTCAAGTAAGGATCATCACTACAGTCTACATTTAAAAGCATGTTATTTCTTGTTCCTCCATGGAGTGAATGCTGTTTAGAACTTTTGGGCCTTTCACTTGGCATACAACGTAGAGATGTGGAAGAATTTGAGCAGTATGTTATTATAGTGTGCAGATCTTGAACAAAGACTTTACTGGACCACTGGAAGGCAAAACTGGTGTATTTAGGTAGTTTGAAGGGGTTCTTATGGAGATTACACTTTGACTTAACATAGAAGACACGCAGTAGAACTTTGGACAATTCCTTAAACTATGCTGAAGTCATAATTTGGGTGAGTTGGTAAGCTGCACAAAGATGCACAGCTGTGTCATGATGTGCACTGCACCAACTATCCCTCACAGGAATATCAGATTGCACTTTTGTGCTACCCAACAACTGTGCTTCACTGTTTCATGTGCATCATTGTGCAGTAAACCAACTGCAGTGAAGAGGACGGCACAAAAGACCCTGGTCATTTTGTGCCAGCAACCAACCGTATGCACATTGAACCTGTGCATGTGTGTGTTCCATAAAGACAACACATGCACAAGAGTGACTGTTGGCATTCGTGCATATCTGTGCTGTTAAACCACAGGAGGGTTAAACCAAAGTGAATGGTGACCACTGACTACTGCAATCCTGCAGCAATCAAAGCTAGCCTGGCTCTTACCCACCCACCTGTCTGTTCATGGCCTGCATAGCCTTTGTCACCCCCTTCATGGCATCAGTCATGGCCTGGTTGGATCTCAGGGTTTGGATCTTCAAGGAGACGGCCTGGATGTTGGCTCGCATCATGATGAACTTCTTGACGTATCTTCGAGTCCTGACCAAGTCTTTAGCCATTACCTTGACTGCGTCCTTGGAAGAACAAAAGACATAAATGAAGTTCAATGTTTGCAACGAACTGGTCATTCAAACTGGCAAATGTCACCTCATTAGGTGAAGCCATTTATTCACAGGGAAGCCATTTGTGATCCTGTTCCCTGAATCTATCATACAGTATATAATGTAATCTGTTAAATAGGGTTGGTGCCAGACCATGTTGGGTTCCAAGTCTCCCTTTCAGTGTTTTGAATGTGGCTTAAAACTCTCAAATATAATATATTCTAATATAATTTAGATATAATTCATCACAAAATTTACATTATTCCAAACGTAAACTGGCATGAATTGTAATGAACTTTTATTCTATTGCTGTTATTTGCTCTCGGTTCCAAAAATGAAAAGTTGATTTCCCTTTGAGTTCAAGATGGCTGACACATGAATACAATCCATTACCCATTACATTCCATTCACTAACTTGGGTAGCTTAATTAACAATCCATTTACTAATTCATCAAACTATTCCACACATCTTCCTCCATGCACATAAACGGTAAAATATTTTCATACAACTGCTTCCTGAGCAGATCAGCCAACAAGCATTCTGATGAAATTTAAATGTGCTGTGATTAGTCAACTGCCCTCAAGTGACAGCCTCCAGGACATGGCAAAGAATGTTTAATCCTGTCCTCGGTGAACAAAATTTTCAGAAATTGTTCCATTTCAAAGACATTTGAGGGATTGGGAATATACGTCACAGGTACCTGGCCATATCAGGGTATTGCTTGTGAAATAAACATAATTGGTATTTTCTTGCAATGGTCAGTTGTACTGACCTATACTGTCAGTGCATACAATTTAACATGTATGCCTCCCTCAACTCAGTCCTGCAACTGCGACAGCGTTTGATTTGACACTCAAGTCTGACTCAGTTACTTGGGGCAGTGTACCACAAAACATGCCAACCAAAGCAGCTTAGTCCTGCGTTGCATTGCGAGGGAAATCAGGCTCTGCTGTAGATAATTCCAAAAAAATAGCTGAATTGTGTTATTTTGCTATCCCAAAAGCTTGCTTACCATCTGTCCTTGCTTGGCCATCTTCTTGATATCTGCGATGACCTTTTTCTCCTGGCCTTCCATCCTCGTCCGTTCCCTATCCAGCTCCCTCATGGCTCTATTTAAGGCCCTCTGGTTTTGCTTCAGCATTTCTGCTGGTGTCTTCTTTTTTCCGAAAAGGAATGACATTGTTGGAAGCGGATGAGGGTGACAATTACGTAAAACAATCCTGGAGGGGGAAATCAAATAAGAGTATTATGGTTATGTCTAAAAACGTATCATTAGCTCTCCACAAACATCATATTCACTAAAAAAAAAATGAAAAAGGAGAATGAAACGTGGTAAACACAACCGGTGCAATCATCGTCGGGTGAAACAAGAGATTGGTGAGTAAAAGTGTCAGACTTTTCAAAAAATACAAAGTTTAGTCTCATGGTCTGAAACCTCTGGTACACCATTTTCAAGAGCTACAGGTGCCTCAAGGTTGGTGTTACCAGGAAATTTGAATGTTAAAGTGGAATCTGTGTAACCAGATCATTTACCTCAAGAGCTCAATTAAAAACAAATACATGTACATAGCGTTACAACCCCATGTAAACAACGGCTCAAAGTCGTACGGGGAAGTGACTTGGAGTTCTTCAGGTACCCCATACCCAGGCTTAATGCTCACTGTATTTGGTCAACACACAGAGATAATTTCGGTCTTGGTCTTTGTCTCAGACTATCGGTCTTGGTTGTGGTCTTGGATTACGCTTTCGGGTCTAGTCTTATTCTTGGACTGTTTGTCTTGGTCTCAGTCTTGGTCTCGGACTGCCTGGTCTTGACTACAACCAGAGAACTGGAACTTTTGTAATTGTGGCAAATAGCATCGAGTGCAACCACCAAGTGAAGTGACCGAAGCACATAATGACCGGGGTTCTCTTCGCTTGCAGCCATATCTAGTTCCACTTATTCTGCACCTTTCATTCAATGACTTTTAAGTTGTCCGTTTTTTCCGCCATTTTAAATATTTCCATGTTTTGACAAAATCTGTACATATGTAGCATGATGTATGAGATTTTTTTACTCCAAACCGTGCACAATACATTGTACACATTGATCAACAGCTTATCCTGTGAAAACAATCATGGTTGCACAACCATGATGTAGTTGGTTTCCGGCTTGTTACGTAAAATAAACCTATTCATACAATCTCTGCAATAGGGAACCATTGACTGACATGATAGTCTTGAATACAAGGCTTATGTGCTCAGCACGCTAACTGCCTGCATACGCCTGCACAAATCAACTCACCTGAAATACGTGTTCAGAAAGTTCACTGCGCGGTGCAATACTTACATGCTGTGCGCGTGCCACTGCTGGAACTCTGGTTGTCGTTCGACGACTGTAAAGACATGCAGGCACAGGCAGCGCATACCGCATCAAATACAAGCTTGGCAGCCTTCCTTTTAAGGCTTTCAAAGGACAAGAGCTGCACATGTATGCAGTGTGCGACCATCATCGAACTCAAGATGCATTTGAGGTGAATATAAATGCATTCCCGTTTGTGTTTGTGTAAAAAAGGAAAAACTGAAATTGAATCTAAGGCTTAGTTTAGGGCAGGAAACAATTCTATATTTTACACAGACATTTACGGACAATACCCCCAGAACTGTGGGATCTGATGGAGCGATCAGACGTCAGACTCCACAGTTTTAGGGGTAGGCCTAGGCTAGTGCGGCCAACACTAATTTTCCCTTAAAATGCTACAACAGCCATCAAAAAGTGATCGCCTTGGGAAGAGTTCCATATATGGACACCAGTGATTATTCCCTACAGTCACCTATTAGCCATCAAAAAGCATAAACACGTCTAGAAAAGTTCAATTTAGGAGGGAAAATACGAAGTGGTTTACTGAAAAAACACTTGAACCATTCCAGGTTGACTTCGAAGTTTTCAGATCTAGCTCACAGGGTTTGTGCTCGGGGTGTCAAGTGGCGTCCATATATGGAACTCTTTCCACAATGTGTCCTAAAAGTAATGTTTAATTTAGAAAATCCCAAAGCATCTACTTAAAAAACACTTAGCCTAGGCCTAAGTTGTTTTTTTTTTCTGACAAGTCTCATAGGTTTGTGCATAAAGCATCAAGTGTATGCTGGGGTGGCCCTGGTCTCCACTCCCTGTGGTTAAATTAATCTCGTAACTTTGCTCGTATACATTGAACACTTTGCTCTATAGCTGAACTTACCACGGGAATTAACTAATACGGTCTTCAGACTTTTACGAAGTTGTTATCAATGAAGATACTGTGACCAAGAAGGCAGGAAAACAATAATACAGTCTAACCATGGAGGTAGTGACGAATATTCACCGTACACACTCACGGTCACGGGAGGTTAGATTTATTTTTGTTTAGATATATGACCTCATCGTCTATATTGTAAACGCCATGTAGTTGATGGTATTAGGTTGACGTTATTTTCAAAGAAAGACGATAAATAACCAGCTTATGTGTGCATTTAAACCTTTGTAGTATATGTATACGGCAACATTTACTTAGGCATGGTTTATCGTGAAAGATTCTGATAATAAAAACGAACAACCATCTATGTGTTACTAACAAAAGAAAACTTCCGAGTTCCAGGTTAAACCGACGGCTGTTGATTTTAACTGCGCGCGCCCTCAACGTTATAAATGTGGGTAACATAGCAACGTTACGCTGCGCCAAATTTCAGGAGTTTGTGATCTGCGTTTCAAAGATGGGAGATTCACCTCGGGCTGGCTCATTCAGGAATAACGGATCAGATGGTTCAGGTGTTTATGATGCATTGACGTTTAATTTAATTACTATCAGCTTGAATTTCGGTGTTTAGCCATGTCAGCTGAATGCTTTATGGAGTTGGCCAGTATTCGGACCGTAGTCCTGCGTTTGTGCTGACGTTACTCCGATGCTCCGAGACATAGTCACTTTGTAGGCCTTGGCAGCCAAGTTTTAGTGTAGGCTAACATGAACGTGGGCCATTGTTAAATGTGTCCCTCCAATGAACTGAACATGCTGGACCCCTTTTTCTCAAG